AGTCTCGTAGATACCCCGCTTGCCCAAACGGGACTTAGGAATGGCTTTACCTCTTCGTGCGCGCTTTAACGCGAGAGCCAGATAACGGATTAGCCCCCTCTTCCAAGTGTAAACAGCTTGACTATAGCAAGATACTAAATCCAATCTTTTCACTCGCCCTGCTCCGTGATAGTGAATACAATCATCACCGACTCTATGTTCCCCCAAGGCGTTTACAAGGAGACCCACCAAGATAGCGTACCTCCAACCCGTTTACAAGTATTCCCAACCCGTTTACAAGTCGTAGTCATTGCCCCGGCTACCAACTCCCACCCCCAGTCCCTTCCGAGATACGAACAGAACACCCGAAGGGTGTGCGCCGAGGCCGAAGGTCGAGGTGTGGATGAGATACGAACACGTCTTCGATCGAGCACATCGTTTACAAGAGAATCCACACAGCCCGAGAGGAGCACGCGTCTAAAAGGCGCGCGACGGACAACACACTACACAACACGCACGCACCAGAACAACCAAAGTCACCACCCCATACACTCCACACACAAACACTACCCGTTGGCCCAGGAGCGGAGCGACTAAGAGACCGGAGGGAGCCCTAACCGGAGGTCAAAGGGACCGAAGCTAGAGGCGGAGGACAGGAGAGGGACGGAGTTCCCTCTACCCCATGGCCCCCTATCACTTAAGTTTGGTATATAGGGGGCCCAGGGCCAACGGCCAACCGCCCCACACTCTAGTCACACGGAGCATCACGTGGGATGTATTACGCGCAACGGACGGGACAGAAGTACAGCGGTCGTAAGACCAAGAACCCAGCGGGTAATGGTCGGTCAACTGCGGGTTGCGACAGCCTTCCATGCAGTCTAATGCTTGAACATGTTCAAGCACAAAGTGGAGACACTGGCACCGAGAGGTATATAGAGGGGGGAGGCCCCCCTCACACACTTAACAGAACCCCGGCTGGTTCTTTTCCTCTTTCCCTCTCCCTTTCACCCGGGAAGGGTATAGAGGCGCTGCCGCCCCTCGACTCGAGACGACATCAAGTAATGAACACTCCCGTGAGGGTCACTGCCTAAATACAGGATGGTTGACTCTTTCACTGAGCCGGGGAAGCTTTACTGATAGTGGCTTCGCCACGACTCGACGGCAGGAGAGGGGATAAGAGAGGGGTGGTAGCCCCTTTACTACAGACGATGCTTTTTCCTATAGCCCGGGAGGGTTTGGTCGAGAAGACAGTAAGTGGGAACGAGGGAGGAATCTTTCTTCAGGATCCGAGCGGATCAGAACAACAGTCTTGCGGTGGCTTAGTTGGACAAGTGTTCACTCCACACTCTCCCCACGCCCTAGACGGGCTTCGACTCGTTTTGTTCCAGGAACATATCTTGAACATGCGTTCAACAACCTTTGCGGTGCCTCACCACAGACTTTATTGTGGCTAAAGACCTAGAGACTTTCTCTTTTCTTTTACTATGCTATAAAATATGTATCCTTTCTCTTTTCTTTGTGAAAACGTACGGTCAGATACCGTCGCGAGGTGTAGGCCCAGTCACCCCTCTTTCACGTGGACGGAAGGAGGTTTTCTTTTCATCTTCGGCTGTGCCCGGCGTGAATGAACATCGCATGCGTTGCATTGCCGGACGGCATGTGTAGTCGGAGCACAAATCGGATGCAGAGTCGTTTTTGCAGAGCGATATCCGTGTATACACCGCACTTTTCCTGAAAACGTGTCGTGAATAGCTTCACTTCCTTTTGTAGACATGTAGATGCACACCGGAGAAAAGTCGGGACGAAGTTCCAGTGACTAGCGGGAACGAAGCAGTGTAGCAGCAGATCATCGTAATTGATTGGATCTTTGATCTTTCATCTATTATATGCCGTACCTAACCACCGGTTGAGTCACCACACTAAAGTGATGTGATAAACTTCTCGATGCATTTATAAGAAGACCTAAAGAGCGACGCGAGGAGCGACTCTATGATGCGACGGGGAAGGAGCAATATCGGAAGTCTTTATAGGAATACTCTAGGACACTCACGATGCCTTCACTTAAGCCGACGGGGAAGGATCTCTACTTAGACCGTTTACAAGCACACTTGAAAGATAGGGTACTTGAAATTGTTTTCAAGTTCACCCTATACGTTTACAAGATAATTCACTTTAAGCACTCGACTCTAATGACCACCTCCGGATTCCTCCAGCGTTTACAAGATAATACTTTCCAAGCGCTACCAACAACCATTAACAATCCCTTCCGAGATACGAACACAACCCCCAAAGGGGTGCACGCGCCGTAGGTGCGGGTGTGGAGAGCCACACTCACAATCTTCAATCTAGTAAATCAGTTTACAAGACACCTCAACACCACGGGAGGAGCACGCATCCGCAAGGGTGCGCGACGGACAAGAACAAACACGTGCACTACACTACACACACCCTTCCAATGGACTAGTCAGTCGGTACCAGTCGCTTATTGCGAGCCGCAGGCGAGGCCAGCGGAGCGCTTGCGCGGAGTGTGAACGTAGTTCAAAAGAAAGGAACAATCCTGTTCCAGTTCGGTTCTCTCGAGTCAAGAGACGACAGAATCAATCTGTGCCGTGTGTCTAGTGGTGCCGCCGGCACCATGTGTGATCCTCGGGAAATGTCCATGAGCTACTCACTTTTCGTCTCGAGTCGAGGGGCGGTAGCGCCTCCATGCCCTTCCCGGGATTTTGAAAGAGGAAGAGAGGAAGAGAACCAGCTGGGTTCCGTGAGGTGGGCGACCCCTCGGTCTTATATGCCCTCTGGTGTGTGAGTCCCCACTAGCGTCCGGGTGCTGCCTGCCCCGTCACTGTCCGGGTGCGTGTATGGAAACCGGTGGTAACCTACACGATGACGTGGCACTCTTCCTCCGTCAAGTAGCCTCTTATGACGCAGTCTCTTCCGTCCCGTGCGAAACTGTTATGAACTACACTCTGATGCTCGAGTGTCTAGAGCTGGGCCATGGAGCAGAGGCCCCCTATAAACCAAACTTAAGGATATAGGGGGCCCAAGAGTAGAAGTGACTCCGTCCCTTTACTAGTCCCTCGCCGCCTGCTCGGTACCTCTGACTTCCCTCCAGTCGTCAGATCTCGCCCGCTCAAGCACCTCCTCCGGTCGGGGTGGCCCAACGGGTAGTGTCTGTATGTGGGTTGGGTGGAAGTGGTACTTTGGTTGTTCTGGTGCGTGCGTGTCTCGTCCCTTTGCTCCCTTCGGTCGCAGGTCCTCCGTCCCGTGACTGTGCATGTGTGCTTGTAAACGATGTGCTCGGTTGAAGAGATGTGAGCGTGGCTCTCCACAGCCGCCCCTTCGGCGCGTCTGCACCCCCCTTCGGGGGGGTTGTGTTCGTATCCATGAAGGGATTGGAAGAAAGGGGTGGTAGCCGGGAAGGGTATCGCCTTGTGAACGTGTTGTGTTCTTGTAAACGCTTTATGTGGGTGAAACCTACGTGGACAAGTATGAGTACAGGAACAATTCACGGTGGTATAGAGATGAAACCCGTTCAGTCTATTGAGTCTATTGAGTCCATACCAATGTCTCCGTAAACGAATGAGGGTTTCGCCAACACCCAAAAGGGCTAGCGTCTCAGCGATACAAGATGTCAAGTGGTGCTCTACGCAGATTGTCTAGTCGCGATGCCAGCACCAAGAGTAGGGTCATCCTCCCCCGTAAACAGCAGATGGTGCACTCGCTCCCAAAGGCGGTCAAACCGAATTCGAACCAACTCCAGTGCATCGGTGCTACCAACCACCGCGGCGAAGACCGCAGAAGTGCAGTGGGTATACACGCACAATAAACCCTCGGCCTGCTCAACAGTGACACTCGTCAACCCTAGACGATTCATGCACCGAGCATGATCACAGCATCGACGAACAATTCCTTGTTCCGGCGCATAGCCTTGTAGAAGACACGCCCGGACACGACTCAAGGCCTGGTCGACAACGAGGCGACGCTCTCGACCCTCTTCCCCCGCGTCACTCGAGTAATGCCGGCAGTACGCAGAAATCAAACAGCCCAGGCTGTGATCCGCCTCGTTCGGGTAGGGGCTACAAAACCGCCGCAGCTGGTGCGGTAATGCCATGAGCCAGGGCCAGACGGGTACCTCCTCCGGAAAGCAACAGAGGGCAGTGCACAGTACCTCGTGCAGCTCTCTCTCGAGCTGGCCAAACGGGCGGGTCATGTCATCCGACAGCATTAAACGGTTCCGGTCATCTTCCAGCCCCGCTTTAGTAAAGTCGAGGCAACCTTGGATGCGTACCCACTGCTCGGGGTAAACGTCCATCCACAACACATAGACGACCACCGGTCTTCATCCCCGAATGACGTCCACGTTCTGATCTGAGAGGCGGCCTGCCGACTGCGACATGACTGCGCAGGCTTCAAGGATTTTCGAAAGAAGAGAAGGTTCTCGTTCTGCTGGAATCGAGTTGAGTGCACCACTTGATGCGAAGAAGGGCCAAGGTACTCTGTGCCAAGGCCAAGCCGTCGACTTCGTACTTGGCTAGAGATATCCACCGAATTGATAGACAACGCTCCTGCGTCTGAGTAAGTAACGACAAACTCCCTTCGCGGTGAGCTCCACATCTGCATAAAGCAGAGAAAAGGTGAAGTCCACTGGACTCATTTGGACGGGGCGCCACCCCTCTTTATACTCCGTGTATGTGTGAGTGTCCGGGTGCTCAACCCGGCCAGTAGTGGATCCATCCATGTAAGCTGTGTACGGCAGGCTATAGGGGTCACTGTTGCAAAACCCAAAAAGTCACCGCGCGAGAGTCAAAATGGGTTAGCGGCATGAACGGCCCGCCCCACGGTACATTGGTCTATGTATCTCGGCCCAACTTCGTTGGAAAATTTGGCGTTACGGCAGGTGTAGTCACAGCTACGGGGCCGCTGCGGACCAGCAGCGCGTCTCTCGTCACAAACATATCAGTCGCCTATGGCGAAAATACCGCACGGTAATTCCAACGCTTTAATGTGTTCCCTTATTCTATCTATACATTCTCCTCGTCCTCATCCTCCGGCTTGTTAAGCTGCTATATTCAGTTAGCAGCCGAAATGCAACTCACAACTTCAGTTCGCTCACAATCCAGAGCCGAGCAGCCTCAGCGATGGTTTCTAACGCCATAAGCTTCCGCTCTTCGGGGCCAAAGCGGAGCTGGTCCTGAAGCGGTAGAAGGAGCCGCACTACCACCGCAAGCACGTAGCTGTTGTGCTGCTCGCTGCGCAGCGATGCGCCAGGTGTCATCGGGTTCGGCATCTGCAAGCTTGAGATGCCGATTCACGTCCCAAAAGGCACGCACGGCAGCAACAGCCCCAGCAGGGACCTAGAACATTCAACTCGATTAATTTCTCGCTTCTTTGGAGCAAACAAAGGTCTCATACTGGCCTGCACGTGTGAGCGTTCTTTGCGCAGTCCCAGCACGCAGCACCGGTATCTATCCCGGCAAATTAGTGAGGCAGACGTATACTACAGGGGACAATCAACGTACTGTCCTGGGAGGCACATTCATGGCCGGGAGTCTTGGTGGCGCGTGTGACGCAAGGACGGCATGGGAAGTCTCGCACCGAGCCGACGGGAGGGGCCTTTTTGTCTTTCTTCTTCTGCTCGGGCGAGCAAGTTAGCAGCCGCCTCTTCTTCATAGAAGAACTTATTGGATTGTACGGTAATCTTGGCCGTGGATTTGCGGGCGTTGGGTCGGACCAATCCTCTACCCTTGACTATTTTATTCCTGCTAGGCGAGTCCCCATCCATCGGGCCAGCGACTGCAGTTTCACTTACGATAGCGGAATCTGCTGTAGACATGACAACGCTGCTGACCATTGGCTTTCCACGGCAATGATGATACAGAAGGGAAAGGTAGGAACTAGGGTTGGAGGGGATCTGGGTTCTGTAAATATTTGCGGGTGAGCAGCGTCGATCTGTGCCTGGTTTGGTAACCGTTCCACGAACAGCCCCCTGGCACTAAGCCGCTGCGGGCCAGCGGCACCACCGCTGCGGGAAAACGCGGTAAGTCAATTTATATCGCTGTCCCCCTTTTTCCTGGCATGAGGACTAAGAAAATCACCATCCCTTCGACGTTACCGGCAACAATGGCACGTCCGCCCAATCCAATCGATCAATACCGTACCTATATCACTCATCTATACCTCAACGGTGTCTCGCGAAGCAAGATTAAGTATAAGCTTCGGAAGCATTACCATGTCGCCGTCAATCTCAGTACACTCTCGCCGAATCGCAAACTGGGGTCTCCCGCGCCAGCAAGCCCGTACCAAAGAAACTCCAGAGCTGATAGAAACCATCCGTGACCTGATCTTTCGCGTTGGGCTTACCGAGAAGCAGACGCTGAGCGTGCTACAAAGACAAGGCTGGCCGATCACGAAACGAGGTCTAAAGCGCATCAGACTTCACCCGGACCGCCGCTGGGTACGCAGGCTCAATAGTGACGAGGAGCGCCTTGTGTTGCTGGAAAAGACAGAACAGGTTATCATCGAGATGACGCGACGGTCCAATGCCATTTCGGGATATGGCAAAAGCCTTCTCCAGCCTTATCTTCGTCAGCAAAAGCAGCTCTGGGTCCCGAGACCCTCTTTGCGATGTACAAAATCATGTTCCCAAATGAGGTCGAACTCCGAAAAGGATGTTTCGGAGGAAGAAGGACAGTTTCTTGTCCCAGGACCAAACTACCAGTGGTGCATTGACGGTCACGACAAGCTCAAGGCGTATGGATTCGAGATATATGCAGCAATCGATGCATACTCGCGCAACATTATCTGGTTTTATATTGGCCACCCGCTACAACTGCTTTGAGCGTATTGAAGCAGTACTTGGCCGCGTGTGGCGCCTACGGCTTTCGGCCATGGTATTTGCAAGCAGACAGGGGGAGCGAAACGCCATTGGTCGCAGCAGCACACTGGAACTTTGTCTTGGCAACAGACGGGCGAGTGGAATGGCATGGGCAAGTTTTCCAACAAGGAAATCGACTAAAGGATTCGTACAAGGCGGCTCCAAGTACGAAGAACGTTAAGATCGAGAGTTGGTGGGAGCGCATGCTGCATGTCTCGTCCCGGCAGTGGGTAGACTACTTTGGAGAACTCGCCAGGGACGGGGACTTCGACGGCGATATGCTGGAAGATCAGATTTCCATCTACGCCGTCTTCGAAGACTTACTACGCCGAGAACTCTTCGACTTCGTGGAGGCGTGGAATCTTCATCGGATACGCCTCCAAAAGAACCGTCCCCATGTGGTCCACGGCCAGCCCTGGATGAACTACCATTACCCCGACCCAGACAAGGCATGCAATTGGGGTATCCGATTGACCGCTCCATTCTAGACGAAATGGAGCGGCCGTTGGCTGATATTGACATTAGCACGAGTTTGGAGCCGGAGACAAAGAACTGGTGCCGCCAAGTTCTCCTTGAAATGGGCTACGATCACGTAGTCCTTGGAACTCACCAGGAGCCGGACAAGTTGCGACCTTTCAAGCGTTTTACCTTGGTCTTCGAGATAAGATAATTCAACATATCGAAAGTGGCCGACAGCCTACGCTGGCATACCGTAAAGCGCCAACTGGAGGCGTTGCTGAATATGTAAGACATACTATTTATTTGCGAGTCGACCAATCTAAGCGCGTATAGCAAGCATTACTTGAGCAAGCAAACCAAGCCCGAGAAGGTGAATTTGGAGATGGGGAACCAGCAGAGCAGCCACTTGTTGAGCTTGGGTTTGAGGACGAGCAGGAAGCGACATGGAGAAAATACCGGTAAGTGATGACGGGGAGGATAGCGATGGTTCTGAATGGGGAGCCTGAGTAGTCAATACTTCCTTTTCCTATATCGAATAGCAAACGTTGTAGGGATCTTTGCACCCTTGAAGCGTGTAGAGTGAGCTGGAGGAAGCGCTTTAGCAGCGTTAGTGTCGGACAGTCGAGTTTGAGTTTCCCTGAAGGCTTGGGAAATTGACTCCGGTTTACCTGTTGAAGTTAGCGCTCGGCTCGTTGATGAGTTGGTTCGGTTTCTTACGAACTCCGGAACAAAACTGGTCTCCTCCTCTCTATCTTCTTCGTCCACTTCGACTCCTTCGGCCACCACGCCTTTATACACCTTTCCACTAGGGTCACTGCCAAACACTAAATCGCATAGTGGATCTTCCAGCTCACCAAGGCCTACCGCATCCCCATGTCCAACAATTTCTTTGGCAGTATATCCAAGCTCGTCGCGTGTCGGGCTCTGGCAGGATGAAGTTGAAACGGGCTCTTCGTGCTTAATCTTGACGCGTATCTCTTCCTTGACTTGCTCCTCTTGCTTAACGCGCTTCTTGCGTCTAGAGGCTGGGCTTATGTCTTCTTGCTTGACCCTCCGTTTCTTGTCTTCCTTGACTGGCGTCGAGCATTGATCTGGCCTCAACGGTGTGACCGGCTCCTGCTTATCAACCACATCCGTGGATGTCAGAACGACTAGCACCTTCAACTGCCCTGCTTGGTTGTTCGAAAAGTGCCCCGATGCGAGCATGCTTGACGGTGTCGTGTACTTGTCGGTGTTTGGAACGGTAACGATTTTCTTGCCAGAGAAGGTCGAAGCGTAAGAAAGGTTCCAGAGATCTTTATTGGCAGGATCGATCGTGGGCGGAAGCGGACGGAGGTGATCGAATAAAGTCTCGGTGAACGAGGCCAAGTCAGTAGATCTGCCGAGGAAACTTGATCACCGTATCCTTCAGAGGCAGCACCGTCTCTGGAACCTCCACTGCAAGCCCGTTGAAGTACCTGGTCTCCAAACTCACAAGCAGCAGGCTTACATGGACCCACTGGTAGCCAGTTCGTTGCCTCGCAGGCTTCCTGGTGCTGCCTTTGGAGTTTTGAATGGCTCGACTGGCCGTTGATGCGACGGTCATGAACTGGGGATTGCTTGACGCCTCGAAGGGAGGTATTCGTGCCCGTGTATTCATCGCACCGGTACCAGCAACTTCATTGGGGAGTTGGGCGGCGTGTCCAACGCCGATGGATGACACTGGTTTCAGTCTGTCACGCAGCAGCTGACTTGCTGGACTGACTGGCCGTGGCGGAGAGTCCTCGACCTCGACCACCTCATCATATGGGCCAGGAAGTGCCGGAGTTTTAGACCTGGCCCGACGCTGCGGCCGAAAGGTTGGCCAAGCCGCAACAGCCGCAATAGTTCGCGCCAACGTATATGGTAGTGAAGAGGTCATAGTGCTTCTGTCCGGCTTGGACGCAGTAGACATGCTCAGGGGAATCTGTGGAGGGCCCATTTCGGTTGAGGAGAAGAGGTAGAACCAGGGAAAAGGAGGACAAATAGGATCGGACTCGGAAACGGGATTTTAATATAAGCAGAATAGTTACAGAACAATATCCCCTTGCCATGGCGAATGAAGATCGCCAGGCTTAGCAAGAGACTTCAACGCTAGTCCGGTGCTGACCAGTAGCGGGATTACTGCGGTAATCCTCTGCTGCCTCATGGCGCCGCTCCTCGTCCCAGTTACTCCTATGAACGTTAGGATGAAAACTGAACACAGCTGTGGTGGCCAGGAGGAAGTGGAAACATTAAAGTCCAAAGTTTCAACTCGGCACCGTATAGCAGAAGACCTCAAACTCGTGTGTATTTGCATTCTTTGTCTGTAGGGCCCGGCTTTCACAAGTTCCCAGCGTCATCCAGGGAGGGGACTTGGCGATATTCGCCGTCTTTGTCTTTGTATTGTCGCTGTCTTCGGGCCGCGACAATACCAAAGTAAAGTTGTTGGCGAAAACACCGCGCCGCTCGCTCGATTTCACTTGGAAAAATATCGATCAGCTTTTCAGGAACGAATTTTGGGTACAGCATCATGCGCATCCATACGTGTGTAAGTGGTTTGCGAGCCGGATACCATTTTACGACTGGTGCGGCAAACTGGCAATTAGACTGGCAGAGGGATGACCGTGCGGGCCCGCTGCTAGTCCGCAGTACATACTCTCATGCTGACCTGAAGTATCCGGATGACCAGGGGGCTGGGCGCCTAAACCCAAAAGAAAATGACAGGGAGTTTTGCAACAGTGACCCCTATCGCCCACCGTAGCTGTGCCAGCAAACTGTCTGTGATTGGACGCGGCGTGGTCGGTCCCCTCCCCCTGCCTCTTAGTACTAGCTTCCCTCCCGCTGGTCACTTTCGCTCTATGACTGCATGCAATCACGTGCGTTCAAGCTGCTCTATGGGCTGGGCCGTTGTGCCATGGCCCCCTATAAACCAAACTTAAGGATATAGGGGGCCCAAGAGTAGAAGTGACTCCGTCCCTTTACTAGTCCCTCGCCGCCTGCTCGGTACCTCTGACTTCCCTCCAGTCGTCAATCTCGCCTCCGGCTCAGACAGAACTCGCTCCGCTCGTGGCCCAGGCTGTGATTGGTGGTCGAGGGTTGTAGTTGTTCACGTGCGCGGTTGGGACTGAGTGACTGGGCGAGGTTGTTTGTGCTGTTTGTTTGTCACTCAGTCGTGTGTACCGTTCGGTGTGTGTGAGTTGTTGTACT